AATCAACTAGAAATAGAGCAGTTGAATGAGGTAGCTAGACTTACCGCGCAATGGTTCTGACTTGGAATGGTTCCGTATTCCCGAAAATGTTTTCAGATTGTCAACCAATGAATGGAGACAACTTTTTATAGCTTCGGAGGTGATAAAGTATCCCGAAAGTGGATTGTTTTCCGTAAATGGAAGAGAGTCAGCGAGGGCACGTCAAATTCGAAGCGCGCGCGTTCGGTGTATAGGATTCTGAACCTGAGAATATTCATGATTACACTAACAAAGATGAGCTTAATACCTCAATCCTACCTTTTTGACAGATTTCGCCTAGGTTAAAAAGATCCAGCATTCCTTATTTGCAAAGTTTTAAAGCTTCAGATTCATATTCGCATGACCTTGCACACATACGGTTTTGAGGTCACGTACTTTTATGTGTGATGCCTGTGTTAAGCCCTCTCGAGTTTCGTGATTGTGTTGTAGACAGCCCTAATTTCCGGAAAGCTTTGTCAGACCATGAGGCTGACTTAAAAGCTGCAAACAGAAAAGTTAAGGATGTTCAAGTAAACACAAGAAGAGTTTTCGAAGCTATGGAAAGTAAGTTTTTCATAACTGTTTTGCCTATATATTTTCATGGGTTATGTTTCAAGTCGTATTTAACACTTTTGATATATTATGATGATTTAGTGTGAAAATGACAGGTTGCCATTTGATGCCACTGGATTTTGAAATGAGATTTTCTTGGTCCGTTGCTAGAAGCGTTAAATTGAGGAGTAGCACTATTATCAATCTACCAAAACTATTTGAGGGACTTTCTTGTGATGATATGTCTGGAAAATAAGCACCATACGTGAAAACTATTTTCTAAAGAATGACGTAAATATATAATCACGTTTTATGATCGTCAAGCTAAATAGCCTATCTTCCATGCCAAAAAGCACACTGAGCTTTGTAAAATAAAGGTCTGTTTTTTAGGTCACAGTGAATACAAATTCTTGGTGTCTTCGTCAGTGGATTTAATTCAAACTGATATGTTGCCTTATGTGTACCTAAAGCGTTTATTATCGTCAGTCTTTTCTCTTTATTCATTTGTACATTCAATACATAAATCCACTGAAGCTACCTTAAAGGTAGCATTGACAGTTACCTCAGTCTACTATTGTAACGAATTGGCCTTCACCCCAATAATTACTTGTTATTTTCTCTATCATTAGAATTGTTGCTTGCACTTATCGGGTTGACCATTTTATAGTACTATAATTTTTGAGTTTCTGACTTTAAAAGATCCGTAATTTTTTCAATTTCAAATAATCTTTTTCTTCGCTTACTTACATTCATATGGAAATGTGTTATAAGGTTTATATTGATGACTGAAAACCGATTCCCTTGAACAGTGAGATTATGTAAACAATATACTCATTGTTTAGTAAGAATAAGTAGGTTGTTTGACACGTGGTAACTATTAAAGCTTGTTTTTAAGTGAATATACTAATGGCATTAATACCACTTGCTTGAGTGATCATTCAGTTAGGAGATATGATCCCACTTTGAGCTTACTTCATCTCAGTTTGTGAACTGAAGGAAGCAAAAATTAAGGCATATCAACACCCA